CCTCAGCTAGTTTGCGAGTACTCGTAGATGTGAGGATAGCATTGAGTGCTAGGGCGGAAAAATCACTTCTTGACTGTATCCCAGTAGATAGTCGTATGTGTGCGGTCTGTCTGAACAGGCCCGTTAGAAGAAGGAAGGACGGTGTTACCCGTCGTTGACTTTTCGTTGTCTTCGCTTACGCCCAGCAGAGTGAAGTTCAGGTGAACTAAAGGATGACTTCTACCTGAAACTGTCTAATTTGCTGCAAAAAGCAAGACTTTCAGATATAGTTGTTTTAGCAGGCGACTTCAATGCCCAAGTAGGGAAGTTGTGCCAGACTGAGAAGTATGTAGGTGGTAAGTATGGAGTTCCCTGCCAAAGAACCGACAACGGTGATCATCTTCAACAGTTTTGCTCAGATAATCATCTGTTCCTAGTCAGCACTAACTTTAGGCACAAAGAGAGACATTGTGTAACCTGGCGACCTCCATCACCAAATCAACGCTGGACCCAGATAGACCACATAGCCATAGGGTATCATTGGCAAGGGTCAGTAGAAGACCGTCGCTAATTCTGGAACACGTGCGTAGGCTGTGATCACGCTCTGGTTCGCGCACGTATATGCTTACGACTAAATGGACATAAGAAATTGACGGCAGCGAAATAGTTACGTCCCCAACTAGATCGAGACCTGAGTCCCTGTTTAAAAAAGAAATAGCAAAACGAGTTTCTGAGGTCGACAGCAGGACTTCCCTGGCACAACATACAGTTAGGTGTAGACACAGCTGTGAAAGCTGTTAATAACCTAAAACCAAAAGTTAGTAAGAGCCATTGGATCTCTACTGCCTCATCCAAACTAATTCATGCAAGAAGACTGATTCCGACGAGCTCCTATTATGATGAGGAGCGAAAGCTAATGAAACTCAAACTTACAAGAATCCTTCGTAACAACCGTGAACAGTGGTAGGTGACAAAAGGGAAACAGGTGGAAAAAGGCAGATGACAGGTAAAACAATCTCCGAGAAAAGTAGCACTATAATTAACTCCCAGGATTGACGACTGGAACTTCGTTGGAAAGGACACTTTGAGGAACAGTTTAATTGACCTATAGTCACGCTCAAATTACCAAACATCCAACAACCCGCGGAATGGAATATAGGCACCGGTCCTCCGTCCCTAACTGAGGTTACAAAGGCTGTCACTAATCTCAAACGGGCAAAGCAGCAGGACCTGATTAATGAATTCAGAGGTATTTAAGTACGGTGGAGACAGTTTACTGCCTACGTTAACTAAGGTACTAGGAACCGTCTGGGAATCAGAGGAAGTCTCGTCGGGTTGGTTTGAGACATCGATTATCCAGATATGATAATCACAGAGGGATTAGCTTGACCAATATGGTATCTAAAGTTCTTGGTACAATAATAATGCGTAGACTAAGTGGTGCTCGGAAGGAACAAGCGCTAGAGAACCAGGCAGGCTATAGACCAGGAAGAGGGTGTATTGATCACCCTTCGAAAGATTCTGGAACATAGGGATTGTTACTGGCGTCCAACTATTGTCGTATTTCTTGACCTGAAAGCGGCATTCGATTCCGTCCACCGAGAGGTACTATGGCAAAACTAGGTTGTGAGGAGAATGTCATGAAAATACTTCACACTGGTCAAGAAACACTGCTCAAAATCATGCAGCCAGGTGAGAGCTTACGGCGAGTTGTCATCTGAAGTGGTGACGATTAGTGATGTCCGTCAGGGATGCCCATTATCCCCATTTCTATTCAATTTCATCATAGATACCGTACTAATGGATTTAACTCTAACTCACTTCAGAGACTCAGGGAATGACTTGGTACCAAGGAATAATCTCGTTTACTTAGAATATGCAGACGATATAGTCCTTCTAGGCGAGGACGCTGACAAAATGCTGCGACGTTTTCTGAACACCTTGAACTGCAATCTACGAATGTTTGGCATGCGATTCGCTCGTGCTGTCAAATGTAAGATGATGTTACAGGAATGGACTACACTGACTTCTAGTTTAGAAATGGGCAGTGAAGTGGTAGAGCACGTTGACCGCTTCACTTATTTGGGAAGTCCCATCAGCCAACACCAACAGGTTGATCTCTGACGACATCTCAGCACGGATACAGAGGGCTAGTTTCGGAAACGCCAGTTTACGCCGTCTCTGATTAGCTGGTTTTGATTATAAGTGCCTGTGTCCTATCTTTCATCTGACGTGGTATAATAGGGTGAGCAACATTGAGGTTAGGCTTCTGTCGAGTGCTAGTTTAAGAGGGGGAAATCAATATACGAGACTACGAAGTCACATTGACTTAGATGGTCAGGACATCTGTTACGCATTGACATTGCCCTCCTCGACAATGGGCAATGTTAGATGACATATGATCAGGTTGGGAAAGATCTAGTGGTGGTCAAACCAAAACATAGCATCAGTCAGTTAAATCTACAACAGTCAATTTAAGCCCCATGAGGTGTAGAATTCCTGGTTTTGGTCCTCGGGACGGTAAAAACCAATGAAGGCTGGGGAGACAATTGGTGGTAGGATTCAAAATCATTCTCAATGGCTGGCGCAGATGCATCCACTCCTTGTGACTTATAATACTCAACGAAACTATATTGTTCTTTGACATTATTATTCTTTTTGCCTCCTATCTCTGTTTACTGTCTCTATTTTGCATTTCTTTTTACTTTCTTTTCTTGCTTTGTGTCCTGAGTGGAGTGTGGTGACTTGAACTGGTGTGTATCGGTGCAAAGTTCTATGTGGAAGCCAGGCAATCAGTCAGTCACTCACCCACTGTTTGACGTATATTCCAGTCCACTACAACCAGGAATATCGTCAGTGAGAATACACAGTCAGATTTTTCTTGCTCCTGTCTTCACTCCATAGGCTGAACTAAGGTTTCCGTTTGCCAGTCATTTTACACGTGCCTCTATCATCAAGCTGTTGAACGATGTCCATAAGCATTTGAGGTACTGCACTCCATAGTAGTGAAGTTTCCAAATTACCTAACGGTCAAGGCTGTCAGAGGACTTTTCAAAGTCAATGAAGTTTACGAAAAGATTTTGATCGTAATTCCACCTTATGAACGGGTTACCTTGAATTACGGTTTTTTTCAACTGGATCGGTTTTACAGTGTGATTCATCTTATTAACGATTTGTTAATGCCATCAGTGACAGTTTAATATCGATTTATTTTTATTTTATTTTGATTACAGATTGATTCCATATCATATTTTGTGGTACCGGTATAGAAATTTCAGCATGCGATATCGGTAGTTCAAATTTTGCAGGCCAACCATAGATATCAAGTGTGCGTCGGTGGCAGGGGATCGAACTCCAGACCATCTGCATGGTCTACGTGCCGCCAACGTATTTGAAAGTGACATCTTAAATTATGGAAATGTACATAAGCATTCAACTTAGAGTGTATGCGGAATATTGAAAGCACTCATATACGCATTAAATGAAAGCGAATTCAATTCACGCCACAGTTTTAATACCGTTCATACCGTTTAAATAAAACGTTCCTAAATCCTTAAATATTCCCATTTATAATATTAGAACAAGACACCCACCCGGGGGCGCCAGCGCGTCGGTGGTATAGCGGTTAGGACGCTCGCCGACCATCCACATGGTCCGGGGTTCGACCTCCGGCCGGCGCACTCCTTTACCTCACTGAGCCAGAAATAATGCTGGTAAAGAGGAAAGGTTGGGTATGAGGCTAGCACCCCCATCCTGTAAAAATTAAACACTGCTACAGAAACTTCAAGCCACTAGCTTGGAGCCCTATGTTCCATTGGGAACGTGAAGGAAAATTATTATTTATAAGCGAAAAATGCTATTGTTTTCAATTTGATCTTCTTCAGGCTTTACTCTAATTTACACAGATTTATATATAAAAAATTTTAACCAATGACGGTGATTTTGTGGATCAAATAATTATAATAATGTGGTAAATGTTTTGAACGAAGTTGATAACGATGATTATAACGATAACGAAATATTGATAATAAGATTTATGCAGGTGACGATAAGAATAACGAAGGTAGTATATGTATATACCTAGCCGTGCCACTTCCATGTGTATCTATAAATTTAGTTGCCCCTGTGGAGAAGGCTGGCTATATAGGCCGAACAACTAGACAGCTTAACAAACGCATTTAATGAGCATCTTCCTTCATGGTTCGGAAAAGATCAAATAAAATCCATACGAAGTTCTATTTTGGCTCATTTAATTGATGATAGTGGTCGCAAAGTGGACAGAAATAATGAAATCAAAGTTACCTATCACATTCCATCTAATCTTTCGAAAAGAATCAGAACCCATCTTTTACACTTAGCCGAAGCTATGGGAATTCGAGAGAACAATCCTAGTCTTTGCATACAACAAAAGAAGTTAGTTCTACATTTGTCTCTCCCTTGCTTGACCTAGGTGAATTCTACTCAAAACCCTCCCACCCTTTCTTATCTTGCATCTCCTTTGTACTCTGATTATCGTTCCATTTCACCTTTTAAGATTTGACCTAATTTATTTATTTATTGAATTGTCTACATATACACATATATACATATACTACCTTCGTTATTCTTATCGTCACCTGCATAAACCTTATTATCAATATTTGGTTATCACTATAATCATCGTTATCAACTTCGTTCAAAACATTTACCACATTATTATTATTATTATTATTTGATCCACAAAATCACCGTCATTGGTTAAAATTTTCTATATCAAAGTACATGTAAATTAGAGTAAAGCCTGATGAAGATGTATTTGAAAACGTTCTTATTTATATAGTGTTTCCTGTCAGTATGCTCAATATCCAATCCTATAAACTATTGACACTTGAACAAATGCAAAACAATCCCCACATAAGAGGGTAAATAAATATTCAGAATTCCCGCCTCTCAACCATCCCACCCACCATCTTCCTCCAACAAAACAAGAATAAACAAATAAAGCAAAATTATTAAAATTAGATTTTACATCCTACACATACACGATTTAATTTTGTCTTATCATCATCATTGATCATATTTATTTGCCTTGATTTAATCTCATGGACACGTGGGTACTGGAATCGTTTATTAATAATCGGGACTTTTGATCGACGCATATTTGAATTCCTGATTAACTGGTCCGATTGTCTCATTGGATCACGATGATCACTGTTGTTGATTTCAGCAAGATATTTCATTTCTTCAATTGTCTTTTGGCGTTGTTTTAATTGTGTCTTTAAATGGCATATTTGATTGCGTAAACTACAGAGGAGATTGGAAATCATAACTGACTGGCATTTCTGCGTTGATTCTGTTGAATCGCCTTGAATAACTTGTGATGATTCACTACGGGTCGTCACTAACGTTGTAGGTATTGTTCTTTGCGGGTTGATTCTCCTTGATAGTTTTCGGTATGCGGTTGTGTGGGGCATGGAATTGAGGTTGGTGTACATTTCATATGACTGTTTACTTCGAGTGATTTTATGCGATCTTCATACTGAAAAATCAATAGAAAAAGTGATAATTTAGTAATTCCCATTGCAGCATTCAGAACACAATATTCGGCGAAGAGACTCTTTACAACGAATTTATTATCAAGCTGTACAATCGTATATATGCGGTTTTCAGGAAATTATATCCGGTGAGGGATATTCATACACATAGTTTGGAAATAGGGTTAGCGACAATCCATCCCAAAAGAGCTTTTATTAAGAAGCATATTGAATGTTCAAATCACTTTCAATAATGCGATTTTTAGACAGAGAGATGGCATTGCCATGAGATCACCACTGGATCCCCTGTTGGCTGACTGTTTTACAGCAAAGCTTGAAAATTCTCAACTTAGTCAAACTATCGGTCATTTTGACATTTATAAAAGATACGTAAACAACACTTTCGTTATCTGCGATAATAATGTAATTCTTGATGATGTCTTGTTTGCTGCCAGCAACTGCCATCCTTCTTTACAATTCACTATAGAAAAAAATCTCAACTAAGCATTCCGTTTCTTGATGTGTGCCTGAGCAGACGTAATGACGGATCTTTCAAAAGACCTATCCACCGGAAATGTACATGACAACGGACAACTAACTAATTTTTACAGTTGGGTGCCTATCTCCAGGAAAAGGAACCTAATTAATTCGCTTTGATTTAAGATGTGAAAAATTTGTAGTTCTGATTGCGTTGACTCAGAACTTGACATCTTAAAAGCCATACTCGCAGATAACGGTTACCCTAACCGATTTATCGACAGGAAAATCAAAAGTAAGCAGTGTAAACTGGTCACCCACTCCGTTCCAAAGAAAACCTCATCCATGAACTTGAATATCAAAGGTGATCAAGCCTCAGAGATGCTCGAAAATCGTCTCTCTAAATCAGTCAGGAAGACGTTCTTTACAGCAGAATTACAAATGACATTCACTAACCGCAAGTTGGTCTCTACCTTTGTAAAAGATAAACTCCCCCGTCTGACCACCTCCATGTGCACCTATCAGTTCACCTGCTCCTCTTGAGGAGCAAGGTACATTGACCGTAGCCAGAGGACGCTTTCCACACGGATACGAGAACATATTCCAGCAGCATGGTGTTACAAGGGAGAAAGCGAATGTGTGTGAGGCTCTATTCTGGAAGACCTGACCGACACATGTCACTCGGTCAATCCTGACCATGATTTTAAGATCATTTACAGAATCCATGCTACCTTCCCGCGTTTTCTTCGTTACAGACTTCTATAGACAGCTGAGATCTTAGCAATTCGTGACTTTAAGCCAGAACTTTGTGTACAAAAGAAGTATGTACAACCCCTACTTCTGCCTTGGCCGTAGAGGGATAGACATTTATTTATTTTGTTTATTTAGTTATTCTATGTACTTTTCCGTTACTCCTATGATTATTTTGGTCATTATTATTATTATTATTCTCAGTCTGAATCTTTTCCACTTGATCTACTTGACATTTTAAAACCAAAAATTATTCATGTGTATACTTTTTATTTTTACAATATTGAATTCTATCTTAGAAGATTTTACACCATGTTATGTAACATTTTATATTCGTCTACTAATCCTATAATTATGCACCCCTTTCCAACATCTATACACACCTTATGAGTTATTCTATATATGACATTAATTTCTTTTGCTACTTGACATTTAAATATGATTACAATCACGAGTATTTCAATTGCATTTCATACTATTATTATTATTTCATGTATTCATACCTCTGACCTAATTCCCTCACCGGATATTGTACAGCTTGATAAAACATTCGTTGAAAAAAGTTTCTTCGCTGAATGTTATTAAAGTGATAATTTTTTCAAATCGTGGAAAATAAGCATCAAAACATTAGAGAGAAAGGAAAAAACAAGAAGTTCAGCGACACAGAGATCTTCTCGCCGATTTCATTCTCAAAATATTCTTAAGTTTATATAGATACAACTTGTGTTGTCCTTTAATCCGACATTAAAACGAAGCGGAGATTAAAAGTGATAATTATAATAATGTTTTCCAACTTGATATGAAAGTTTGAAGGTGTGTGGAAGTAGATTACAAAGGGATTACTAACGGAATTACGCAATTAGGATTAGAAAATAACTTTTTAGTGAAAACACAAGTGTAAACGTGATGTGCATGGAAACTGATACGAGCAAACAAGATGGGAATGAAAAAAGATAGAAAAAACTAGGGAGACAAATCGAACTCGATCCATGTTAAATGTTTCTTTTGATGAATGCACAGAGCCTCAGTTTTTCAGATGTACGCGGCGACGGCTTCTGGAGTAGTAGTACAAAGAAATCGGAAACACACTGACTGACTACCTTCTACTGATTTTTGTTTACTTTTTGTAAATGACTCTGAATGATGAGTGAATGAGTCAGTTGAGGGTGTGCTGTGTCCAGGTGTGTGGTGACGAGGTGCCACTTCTGATTCAACCACATCTAACCTCCTCTTACCAGCTATCGTGAGTAGTGTTCTTCAACATGTTTTGAAAGGACGCGCATAGAACGACCTATGTACCCAGTCCATCAAGGTCAGTTTAGCTGATATATGCACACTGGAATGGTCATATGAGTAAGTTTATATTTCACACTGATAAGAATTGATGGGCAGGATAGGTCTTATTTAAGAAAATGGGAATTTGCCACCTGAGGCTATCTGCAGCTGAGTTTTTCCGTGAAGTTCAGAATCAAAAATATAGTGTTTTTGCTATGTTACTGAAGTGCAACATGGAATGCCCACACAATGTTTAAAGCTGGCTAGTAAGGTTGATTAGATTGCAAAAGAAGAGAGGGGAAATCCCATGTAAGTGAAAGTGATATGTGAGATCAGATGGAATGGATGTGGACTAGCCAAGTTGTTAACTGAAGAGTCATTAATCTACTCTGATCAATCAGACAACAACAATGAACACACACTGAGGAGGTGGTTATTGTGATGTCACCGACAGCATTGAAGGCAGTGAGTGGTGAAAGTAAGCTAGTGAAGCTCTATGTCCCACTCGGAATCAAAAAGAAGAAATATAGTATTATAACGACAGAAGATAAGCGCCAGGCAACAAATCGTTTATTCAGAAAATCAACAGATATTTATGGATTTTTATACATCGTTTCTTAGAAAGTTAAGCCATATATCTTCGAGTCGTATTTGCACATGATAAGTCTGCTGTGATTGGTTGCTGAGTTCCTCAAGGTTAGGCCTTGTTATTGTTGTTTCTTCTCATGAGCCCGGATAAGAAAGTTTCGCATAGGCCAGTTTACGCTGTCTCTGGCTTAGAAGACGTGATATCCGGCTGTCTGTGGACCAAAGGGCGTGTGTACTGCTCAGCAGTCCGCTCCGTCCTCCTTTATGGCTGTGCGATCTGGCCATTGCGAGTGAAAGACATGAAAAGGCCGGTTAGCTGTCTTTGATCATAGGTGCCTCCGTTCTATCTCCCGCGTGAAGTGGTATACTAAGATGAGCAATATTAAGGCTAGGCATCGAGTTCTAGGTAAGCAGGGGAAATCAATCGACGAGATTATGAAGTTACATCGACTGAAATGGTTAGGACATGTGTTACGTATGCATGTCTAGCCATCGCCTTCCTCGACAACGGGCAATGTTAGCTGATATAAGACTGGTCAGGCTGGGAAAGAGCTAACGGCAGTCAAACCAAAACATGGAAACACTCAATTAGATCCACAACAATTAGTCTAAGCCACGTAGGAAGGTGTAAACTTCCTGACTGGTTGGGGTCCTTGGGACGGTAAAATCACTGGTTGGAAACTATTGGTGACATGGCTCAAAACCGTTCTCAATGGCTGGTGCAGATGCACCTACTCCTTTTGACTTGTGATTTCAAATGAAACTGTTTTGTTCTTCGTTACTACTATTCCTTCGTCTCACACCTCTGTTTATTGTATCTATTATGCATTTCTTCTAATTTCTTCTCTTGCTTTGTGTACTACATGGAGTGTGGTCAATTGAACTGCCGCACATGTGTGCAAAGTTCTATGTCGAAAACAGACAGACAGACAGTCTTAGAAGGCGAATCTTCATTTTCTCAAATAATTTTTATTTATTTTTTGATTACAGCTTGATTCCACACTGTATTTTTGGTACAAGTGTGAATTTTCAGCATGGATATCGGTAGCCCAAATTTTGCAGGCCGACCATAGATATCACGTGTCCGTCGGAAGGGAATCGAACATTGGACCATGCGCATGGTTGGCGAGGGTCCTTATCATTGCGCCACCGACCCACATAATAATTGGCTAAAGAAAACACTTACATTTAACAATAGCCAGTTGAAGTTTGGTTTAGTCTTTGCGGTTTTTTCCCATGAAGTTGAGTAATATCAATGTGATTTGACTGAAACGAAAGTTCAGTCAAATATCTCTGATGTCCTGATGTGCATTTTCCACGAATAAGACCTTTCCTGCCCATCAATTCTTATCAGTGTGAAGTATAAACTTACTCATATGACCATTCCAGTGTGCATATATCAGCTAAACTGACCTTGATGGACTGGGTACATAGGTCGTTCTATGCGCGTCCTTTCAAAACATGTTGAAGAACACTACTCACGATAGCTGGTAAGAGGAGGTTAGATGTGGTTGAATCAGAAGTGGCACCTCGTCACCACACACCTGGACACAGCACACCCTCAACTGACTCATTCATTCATCATTCAGAGTCATTTACAAAAAGTAAACAAAAATCAGTAGAAGGTAGTCAGTCAGTGTGTTTCCGACTTCTTTGCACTACTACTCCAGAAGCCGTCGCCATATACATCTGAAAAACTGAGGCTCTGTGCATTCATCAAAAGGAACATTTAAAATGGATCGGGTTTGGTTTGTCTCCCTAGTTTACTTTCTTGTTCATTCCCATCTTGTTTGCTCGTATCAATTATAAAAAGCCATTGTTATATCAAATTGTTTCCATGCTCATCACGTTTACACGTGTTTTCACTAAGAAGCTATTTCCTATTCCCAAGTAATTCCATTCGTAATCCCTTTGTAATCTACTTCCACACACCTTCAAACTTTCATATCAAGTTGGAAAACATTATTATGATTATCACTTTCAATCCCCCGCGCCTTCGTCCTGATGTGAGGTGAAATGTCAACTTAAAGATATAAATGCGATTCTACAGCTACTTCTGAGATCTGTGTCAAAATTTTTACTGAGTAGGGAATGTTCCAAGTACTGGACTTCTAGTAATTCTTCCGCACTTTTCCCAACGCTATTGTTTAGAATTGTCCAGTAGCCTTGGTAGTTTTTTTTTGATTGCACACTACTCAGTAACTAGTGTAATGTGTGTGTTTAGTCCTATCTTCGGTGCAGACTGAATTCCACAAGTCAAGCTGGGAATGTGGCCACCATGCTAGATGGCTCGCCATTACGGTGCACTGTGAGGTGTTGGTATTAGATGGTTGGAGGCAATCGGCCACAGGAACCCTTGACTACACCTAGGTTTCGTGCTAGTTGGCACCCACCAGTCAGCAAGGCTTATCCGCAAACTTGAAGGAACTCATGTCCCTTCTGAGATCCGAACTCACGTCACCCAGTTCTGCAGTCAGAGACGTTACCATTGAGCTATTCAGGATCGCGATTTTCCTCCTGTAGAACTGTATTGGATAAAAGCCTTGGTAGATTTCATCGAGTGGATGCAGTTTAAGAATGCCACGTGGATCACCTCATGGGACTGGAAAACATTCTAACACTCAACCACTGACGTCCAACACATATCTGTATATGTAATTCTAACTCACCTGTAGTTTAACTCGTTCATATTGTTGTTGAAGTGAACGAATAGCGCGTTTTTCATTTTCATGAGCTCTTTCCAATTCACCTTCAAGAAATTGAATACGTTCAAGGAGAAATGATTGTCCATTTTCATTGGATGATAACTTCAATAAAATTAAAACAGAAAGTATGAAGTTGATTTTCTCATTTATGACAATAGAGTCTTCTTTTCAAGAAAAATAATATCTTAGAGTAAAAAATAAACTGTGTTAATATTTAATTGGTGGATGGTTACTAGCAGTGGAATCCAGGACAACGAGCATTTCATCCTATTTGGGACTTGTGGCCACCTGGATGTACCTGCATTCCGCAGTGAGTCAGTGATGATGCCCCCACCGAGGCTCGAACCCAGAGCCCAAAGCTTCAAACGCTAAAGCGTTATCCACTAGACCACTTGGGCCACGAGAGCTAGCCACCTCTTGTGCAACGGATCATATTAATTATATAATTGAATTTGAGATTTTCCCGTCGATTGATTGGACCGAAGCCGACATGTTAACCTGAGACCAGGCATTTCGGTCCAATCAATCGACGGGAAAATCTCAAATTCAATTAAATAATTAATATGACCCGTTGCACAAGAGGTGGCTAGCTCTCGTGGCCCAGGTGGTCTAGTGGATAACGCTTTGGCGTTTGAACTATGGGCACTGGGTTTAAGCCCAGGTGGGAGCAGCATCATCACTCACTGAGAAATGCAAGTACATCCAGGTGACCACGAGTCTCGAATAGGACGAAAGGTTCGTTGTCCTGGATTCAACTGTTTGTCACCACCCACCAATTAAATTCTAACTAAATGTCCACAAATCGTCGAAGCATCTGCACAAGAAGCCGTCAGACATGCCAACCTGAGACCGAGTACTTTGGTCCAATCAATCGACGGGAAGATCTCAAATTCAATTAAGTTAAACTGTGTTAATATTTGACAATTCAGCAGAATCAACCATAAATGTTTCACACTTAAAAAGTATTATTATTATTTCAATGTTGGTTTGCAACGATTTGATTTGATTGGTTACAGGATTTCATTGTGGTTGATGATATTGGTTAGAAAGGGAACGATTGGAAAACCAACCAGGGAGTACTGGACAACTGTTTCGTCCCTCTTTAACAGTATGCACTAACCGCCAGGGTGTGAACCTAGGGCAGTTCGGTTACAAATACTCGCCGATAATATTGGTTAGTGTCATCTGCACTATACAGTCAGTTCGTAGAGGTTGGAATTCATGAGCTGGCAGTTGAGTTGGGTCTTGGTGGCTAAATGGTCTGTGAGACCACCTTGTTGCCTGAAGGTCCTTGGTCAGAAGCGTACTGACGAAGAGTCCAAAACCAGGACGAAAGATCTCTATATCACTTCCTGGTGGCTTTCCAATAATTTTCTGACCGATGTCAGCTCACGATAAAATACTATAACCAATCAAATCGTTGCAAAAGAACACCCGAATATCACTGTGACACTCACTAGTGATTGACCCTAAACAGGTAGATAGTTGCCTGGGTTCTAGTGAGAAGTCGTGACCCACAGTGAGGTACAGCAGGTCAGGTGTGTGGACAAACACTCGCCACTGATGACATTAGCTAGTGCCAGTCGAGCTATGTAGTGCTTTGATTGTCAGATGTTGGGATTCATGTCCTCGCCGTGAAACGATGCTGCCTAGCCAGGTAAGTGAAGGAGACCATCAGTTTTATTTCATCGATGCTCGTCAGCTGCATCCAATCTGTCATAATAATAATGATGGCTTTATTTCAAACAGTATTTGTGGTACAGGTATGGAATTTTCAGCGTGCATTACAATATATTGCATCTAATTACCTCATCAATTTTATAAGATTTTAAAATCAAAAGCAACACTCAAAAAGATAAATAAAAATTTAAAAAAAAAAGAACAGCGTTGCGTTCACATTTTATACAATGCACCACAGGATATGAAATATAAAATTAGTGTGTAACCAGAAGATGTGAACAACAGTGTAATAGTAACGAAGAAAGGAAAACAAAAACTAATGGGACTATTTGTTAGAGTGCCGCAATAAGTTGATCGTGTCATACCCAACGGATTTCTCATCACATAACAGCTGTGCCAGATATGGTATTGTGGAGTTTTTGTACTTGGTAGTCCTAGCATATAGCCTTCCTATAGCTGCTTCTAGCTCTACCAGATGAAATGCAAGGAGACAGCTGTGTATAGAGAGGATTCTCGGGTCTGACAATATTGTATTCGCTAGTTTCTTACATGACATTATATGTCTATCTACAATAGTGTTAACCAGTTGGTTTAACGATATCCCACTTTCCCTACTAACGGCTCTTAGTGCCCTTCTCAGCAAAGCAAAGTCTTTCTTAAGTAGTCCAGAAAAGATTAATGGGAGCAGTAAAGGGGGATGGGTAGAATACAAGAATTTACAAACTGAGAAAGCAAAGACTGCTTTATGCCAGACTGACTAAATTTCCTAACGTAGAACGTTAAGCGAAACATCTTTCCAGTAACTAGCAAGATGTGGGAGGACCAGGAAAGATCGGTGGAAAAACTCAGCCCAAGGTACTTGACATTAGATATATTTTCAACCTCTATACCGTCAATGATAGTGGGGCCATGTTTGGTAGCTAGTTGTTGCGGGTCACGTTTTCGTCTGAAAGTGAAATCGACTACCTGACATTTGAGACGGATTCAGCTGAAGAACGTTTGAAGAGGACCATTGACTAATTTCCGACAGAAAGTTATTTAATTTGGAACAATCTGAGTGAGAGTTGACAGGCATAGAAACAGAGAGGTCATCAACATACTTAACAAAAGTGGCTACGTCAGAATGGAGCAAGTCATGTAAGAAAGACGAAAACAGAAAAGGAGAAAGAACAGCACCTTGAGGAACACCAGCTAAAGTAAGTGAGGTAGTGGAGGACTTTCCATCGTAGACAGTGTATTGGTTCCTATCAGAAAAATAGGAATGCAGCCACTTATTTGTCTAGCTTTAAGCCTGTGTTGCAGCAAGCTTACTTAGCAAGAGAGACCTGGGTACAGAATCAAAATCAGAGGTGTAATCAAGGAAGGCACACCGATCGTATTTAGCTCCTCTATCCAAACTAGAGACTACATTATGATATAGGACAACAGCGGCATCTAAGGTACACCTACTATGTTTATAGGCAAACTGGTTGGGGTCATTGAAAGGCTTTAAAGAGGGTTCAAGATTAAGTAAAATAAGTCTTCTACAACTTAAAAAAAATGCAATTTTAACACCCATTGTTTTCATCATCATGAATCAGTCCCCCAGAAGAGGAACGCTGTAACAAAGCTATAGTTAAACAAAACATAAAGATGATAAGAGCATCTTAGACAAGGAGTTACTAAGGTGAGAATTACGGTAGTAATTAAAGTCCAGTGACAGTTTAAGTGCAATAGCCTCAACAAATCGATGAAGGTATGGGCTGTTTATTATTTTGGATGTTCTTAATACGTCTACTCTGTATTCCACGTTGATGCACGTGAACTGGCTAACATAGTTGGAGTTAACATATGATAAATTAACGCTTGTTGATTTTTGGTTGTTAAAACGAACAGGATGTTTAGTGTAGAGAGACTAGTTCGCTGCTGGATACGTCCTAGTCAATGACATACTTAAACGTTCATTATTCATCATACTCATGATACCACTCGTCATCTCTGAAGCCGAGATGAATGAAGATGTTTGCATTTTTTCAATAATTAATTAATTCCCATAGAAGCAATAAGGACACAATATTCAGCGGAGAGACTCTCTTTAAAAACGAATTTATTATCAAGCTGTGCAACCGTATATATATGGGTTTTTTTAAGAAGTTATATCCGGTGAGGGAATTACATCAAAGGTGTGAATACATGAAATAATAATAGTATGAAATGCAATTAAAATATTTGTGATTATAATCATAGTTTAATGTCAAGTAGCAAAAGAAATTAATGTCATATATAGAATAATACATAAGGTGTATAGATGTTGGAAGGGGTTGCATAATTATAGGATGAGTAGGAGAATATAAAATCTTACATAACACGGTGTGAAATTTGATGTGAATTTGATATATGAATTAGATATTGTAAAAATATAAAAAATATGAAAAGTAATAGTTTTGGGTTTAGATTGACTAGTGGAAATAATTCAAAGTGAGAATTGTAATAATAATAATCGTAGTAATAAGGTAAAGGTACATAGAATAACTAAATAAACAAAATAAATAAATGTCTTTCTCTCTACGGCCAAAGCAGAAGTAGGGATTGTACATACTTCTTTTGTACACAAAGGTCTGGCTTAAAGTCACGAATTGCTAAGATCTCAGCTGTCTATAGAAGTCTGTAACGAATAAAACGCGGGAAGGTAGCATGGATTCTGTAAATGATCTTAGAATCATGGTCAGGGTCGACCGAGTGACAGAAGTCGGCAGGTCTTCCAGAATAGAGCCTCACACATATTCGCTTTCTCCCCTGTAACACCATGCTGCTGGAATATGTTCTCGTATCCATGTGGAAAGCGTCCTCTGGCTACGGTCAATGTACCTTGCTCCTCAAGAGGAGCAGGTGAACTGATAGATGCGGTCAGGAGGCGAGCAGACGGGGGAGTTTATCTTTTACAGAGGTAGAGACCAACTTGCGGCTAGTGAATGTCATTTGTAATTCTGCTGCGAAGAACGTCTTCCTGACTAATTTAGAGAGACGATTTTTGAGCATATCTGAGGCTTGATCACCTTAGAATTCCAAGTTCATAGATAAGGTTTTTTTTGGAACGGAAATGGGTGACCAGTTTAGACTGCATATCTTTCATGTTGTTGTCAATAAATCGGTTAGGCTAACCATTTGCTGCGAGTATGGCTTTTAAGAAGTCAAGTTCTGAGTCAACGCAATCAGAACTACAAATTTTTCACATCTTAAATCAAAGCGAATTAATTAGGTTCCTTTTCCTGGAGATAGGCACCCAACTGTAAAAATTAGTTAGTTGTCCGTTGTCATGTACATTTCCGGTGGATAGGTCTTTTGAAAGATCCATGATTCCGTCTGCTCAGGCACACATCAAGAAACGGAATACTTAGTTCGGATTCCCTTTCTATAGTGAATTGTATAGAAGGATGGGAGTT